GATCATCTCTTGCATAGATTATTACAGAAGCCTCCTAACTGGTCTCTCCATTTTCTCTCTTACCCTCTACAGTCTGTTCTTGCAGCTGCCAGAGTAAGCTTGTTCAAGCTTGTTCAAGTGTTTAAAACACTTCAGTTACTTCCCTTGAAGAAAGAGCTTACCATGGTCTACAAGGCTCTGTCTTATGTGGCCATGGTGACCTCTCTGACTTCATTTTCTAACACCTCACTTAAATACACTGTACTGGCATCCTTGCTGCTTCTCTGTGGTGACAAGTTCATGGATGCCTCAGGGATTCTGCACTTGCTGTTTCCCCATCCCCAAATACCCTTTTCTGAGATGACCTCTTATGTAGATTGAGAGCATACTCTGGAGCCATACTCTGGAGCCATACTCTGGAGAGTAAGTTTGAATTTTAGAGTTGTCTGACCTTGGGCAAGCTATTTAACCTTTTTATGCCTCAGTTTCTACATTTGGAAAATGATAAAATACTAACTACTTTATAGAGTAATTGTGATGATGAAATGATTTAATATATGTAGAACACTTAGAATAACACCTGCTGTATAGTAAGCACCATGTGTTATTTGTGAGGATTATTGTTAACTTCATCAGGTCTCACCTTAAATGTAACCTGCTCAGAGATTATTTAAATCGTAGTAGAATTGTTAGAATGAATCATGAATATGCAGCCTCCTGGGGGATCTGTTTTGAAGAGGACAGCTCACTGTGATGTAGACAACTCATGTGTAGGAAATGTATTTCTGTGAGTGTCACAGGAAGTACACCTTCATTTTTTTTTTTTAACCAACATGTGGGGTCCCCCTGCCCCAGGTTCCCTTTCCCTAGTCAGTCTCTCTTACAGGATCCACTGTTGTCCAGTATTCCTTCTACGACTCTAGCTCATGTCAATTCAGACAGGGGTCTTTGGAGACAGACAGTTGGATCTATAGTGATAGACATAGGAGGGAGAAAAATTATCTCACCACCACATCCTCCCTTCTTCTTCGCCTCAGCATGGATTTCATAGGGAGCATTTATAGTTCTTCATTTCCTCCTCTCGCCTTTATCAAAATACTGAGAAAAATTTATTGATTCTAAGTTTTCTGTCCACCATTATCTCTGTGCGCGCACGTGTGTGTGTGCGTGTGTGTGTGTGCGCACGAACTTCCCCTTTAAAGAGAAAAGGAACAAAATTTAAAAAGGACAGGACAAAAGAGATCACCTTTTAACTTCCCATCTGTTTTCATTATTCCCATCAGCAAGCTTTCTTTAAAACATCTAGACTAATGGGACGCCTGGGTGGCTCAGTTGGTTAAGCAGCTGCCTTCGGCTCAGGGCATGATCCCGGTGTCCTGGGATCGAGTACCACATCGGGCTCCTTGCTCATCAGGGAGCCTGCTTCTCCCTCTGCCTCTGCCTGCCATTCTGTCTGCCTATGCTCGCTCTCTCTCCCTCTCTGACAAATAAATAAATAAAATCTTTAAAAAAAAAAAAAAATCTAGACTTCTGTGGTATCCTTCCAGGACAGGAAGATAGGGAAGTGTTGTGAGCCCTGCCCTTGTTTTCTGGAGAAAATACCCAGGTCAGACACAGGCCACAAAGGAAATGGATAACGAGGGAGGGAACTCATTGGATCCCTAGGAGCAAGTAGGTTTAGAGAAAGGGGGTAATGGGACCACTCAGGCTGAGGAATAGCTGCAAGGTTCACACATCTCACAAATCTTTCTCCACTTGGAACCCCACTCACAGGCTATTGAAATTCTCACCAATGGCTTGGAGTTTGAGGGTACCAACTCCCAGTGCCAACTGAGAGGAAGCATGGAGTCACCAAAAAGCCAGATCTTATGCTCCCAGCCACGGTGAGAACTGGTGTGTTCTTGGTATTCTAGCATCCTCTACAAACATAGTAGCAGACTCTGTATTATAACATATATTAGATGCTTTATGGGAGTTAAATTTTTGGAGCTCAGTCCTTCTAGAACTACCTAGTATATTAGGTAAAAATATCTGTCACATTTCTTTTTTAGTTATACATTATGTTTTTAAATATATGTGCTATAAAGTGGGCTTTGAAATCCGAATTTGACCAAATGGTGATTCACATTATAACTTTACATGAAGCAGATGCACTTATTTCACTGGAAATTCTCTGAAATATTTAGATATCGTTTATTGGACTTTGGTAATCTGTAGACAAGGATAAAATAATTGAATATCTAAATCTACTAAAAAGATTTTTGCTTATAAAAGTAAGTAAGTAAAAGTAAGTTGACCTGAACTAGCTTTCATATTTTTTTTCATATTTTTTCCTTTTTTTTCTTTTTCTCTGGTAAAACAAGAAACGGGAGCTATGTGAAGTAATTGAACTATTCGTAAATATTCCTAGTGATACCCTAAATGCATCCAGGAGTTTCTACCTTAATCAGGGCAAAATACCTTTAGATGAGAGCTAGATAGGATTGTTAGACCAGATAATGGATTAGTTTCCCTACTTTGTATCTCGTTTTTGTGAGAGTGATATTCATTGTCAGTTGTAAAGTTGATACTTGCTTTTTTCCAGATGGGGAGATTTTTGTGTCATGGCCTAATACTTCTCCACTCTGCTACTTTTGTACTCTAATGAGTAGTTATTCCTATAAACTAGAAAGGTAAAAAATATGTATAGTATATATCGAATGAGTGAGGTCTGTTTCTCAAATTCTTCCTTACTAGTCCCAGTCAAAACAATTTTTTGCATCCCAAAAGTGTTCAGTATCCTAGAGGGAAGTATACTGACTTGAGTGCCCACTGGGGCACTCTCAGGCAGTGACCTTGCACACTGCTTGGGTGTATGTGTGGGGGCTATTCCAAGGTCTGTTTTGGGCCATCTGTACCTAATGGTAAATGTCAGTATACCATCTGGCTGTCTGGAAAGATCCAAATAACCTCCTTGGTGATTTCAGGGTGTCTTTGGCCTTTTATAGTGGATCATTTAGTTCCTTTTTTCCTTTCAATCCAGGAGTTCCATAGGCTAACTTCCCCAGTTCTTTGTCTTTGTTGTTGTTTTGTGAAGGGAGAGTATACATAGGTTCTGCAAACCCTGATTGGGATATAGAACTCTTAGAATATCTGTGGGCACATATCCCCCCAGAGTAGAAGTTTAGCCTTTTTCCTGAGATCATTCAGACCTTTGAGGTATAGATAGGAAGATTCCCTGGCTATTAAAACCCTACATCATCATTATTTAGCTCTTTAAAGAGAAGATTGGATGTCTAAAAGTTGTAGACAGTTGGGTAACCTATTCGGAAGTTTTTATACTCTTCAAAACTGCAGAGCTGTTGAGAACTAGTGTGAATTTCCTTATGTCCTTACTGTGGTAAACTTCCCTCCAAGAGTTGATACTTCCTAGTTAATAACACATGAAGGTATTAAGTTGATTAAATGGAATCTCAGTACAGAGCCTATTTCAGTTTGTGTTTGCATACAATGATTTCTAAAAGGTAGATTACTTACAAGATTGGGTATAATATGATTTTGTCCTTATCTTACATATTGGAACGCTTTTTATTTATTTATTTAAAAGATTTTATTTATTTATTTGACAGCGAGAGAGAGAGATCACAAGTAGGAAGAGAGGCAGGCAGAGGATGGTGGGGGAAGCAGGCTCCCTGCTGAGCAAAGAGCCCGATGCGGGCCTCAATTCCAGTACCCTGAGACCATGACCCAGGCTGAAGGCAGAGGCTTAACTGACTGAGCCACTGAGGTGCCCTGGAATGCTTTTTAAAACAGAATTGATTTTTAGAGGAGTTTCAGGTTTTAGAAAAATTGAGAAGATAATAGCGTTCCCGTATACCTCATACCCCCCCCATCCACACAAACACAGTTTTTCCTATCATTAACATCTTACCATAGTATATTTGTTAGAGTTAACAAATGAGTTGATACATAATTGTTTTTTTTTTTTTAAAGATTTTATTTATTTGACAGAGAGAAATCACAAGTAGGCGGAGAGGCAGGCAGAGAGAGAGGAGGAAGCAGGCTCCCCGTGGAGCAGAGAGCCTGACGCGGGGCTCGATCCCAGGACCCTGAGATCATGACCCGAGCCGAAGGCAGAGGCTTTAACCCACTGAGCCACCCAGGCGCCCCGAGTTGATACATAATTGTTAACTAAAGTCTATATATATCCTATTCAGGTTTCCTAAGTGTTTACTTGAAGTCCTTTTTTCTGTTGGTGGCTCTCATCCAGTATACCACATTATATTCCGATATCATATCTCTTTAGGCCCCTCTTGGCTGTGACTGCTTCTCAGACTTCCCTTCTTTTTGATGTCCGTGATAGTTTGGCAGGTATTCACCAGGTATATTGTAGGTTGCTTCTCTTGGGATTTGTCTGATGTTTTCCCCCAGATTAGAGTAGAGTTATGGGATCTTGTGGTTAAGACTGAGCTTAGCTTTGTAAGAAACTGCCAAGCTGTCTTTCAAAGTGGCTGTACCAATTTGGATTCCTTGTGTTGAATGAATGAATGAATGAATGAATGAATGAATGAGAGTTACTGTCACCTCATGTACTTGTCAGCATTTGGTGTAGTCCATTTTTTTGGACTAAAGTCATTCTGATAGGTGTGTAGAAGTTGGGATGTAATTTTTAAAATTGGTCATTTTGTCTTACTATCTTACTTGACTATGGAAACATTAGCTTTCTCCTGATACTTCTCTTCAAATCATCATTGAGAAGAATATATGTGCTTTTTTCCCATATGTATAACTGGTACAGATGTTTAAGTAGTATTTCACTTCTTACATTAAGATACAATTACCTATTCTTTATGCCTTCTTATTACTAATAGCTTATAAGCTGCGTACTGTTGGTGTTAAGCTACATTCCATTGATGTTAATGTCTCATGTTTATTACTTTTGTTTAATTTGTTATTCTCATTTTCCATTCTTCAAAGTCATTTTGCTTTTGTGTTTGTGTTTCATTGTTTATAAAGTTTTTTGTTTCTGTTACATTATGTAGTTTTGTACCAATGGCTAGAAGCAGATCGTCATGGCAAGAGCCAAGATGCTACAAATACGACTTCAGGTAAAAATAAAAATAAAATAAAAATTGAGGTGTAGAAATCATTATTTTAAATCACCCCAAGCCCATCATAATTGGTTTTTTCCCCTCAGTTTTGTTTGGGCAAAAATAGGTATTATTTTATATTTCTTTTCTCTCATCTGCATCTTAATTTTTGTAAAGACCTCATTTGCTTCAAGCCTTGAAAAAATTATTCACTAGTCTTAAGCTGTCTTGGCAGATATATCCTATTTTCTTCTAAGGAAAGGCTGAATTGCAGCTTAAATTTAGTAACAGGTTATTTGGCAGTATTACCTGGAATTAAGTTTATATGTATTTGTAGTGGGGGATATTAATATTTGCCCAAGTTTATAATCTTTGTTCATTTCAGGATAGTGTTTAAAGAGGTGGATTTTAAGTTGAGTAAAGAATGCTTATGTATCATTTCAGTTTCCTGGGAACCCAAATTCTTAGACTGATTTCATTTCTCCTGCTAAGTCCTAGCAGTAAATTCTAAATTAGAAGTTCATTTATAACATGGGTTCAAAAGGGAGAAGACTAGGTTTTTCCCCTCACCTCTTATCTCCAAAAGGCATCATCAGAATTCTCTTCTTTGGTAATAGTAGTGATAACTATATCCACTCATGTCTAAATCCTTAACAGTGTTATCAGAATTTCTACATAATTGGTTCTTCCATGAATTTACATCAAAATAGTATTTGCCAAGACAGCTATATATACAGCAATGACCTTTCCTCTTGCCCCCCTTTCTTGGCAGTCTAGTAGGTGGTGTGTTGGCAGCAGTGGTGGTGGTTCTGTTTTTCTTAGATTCGTGTTTCTGTTTCATGAGTCTTTCCATTTTCTTGTTTTTATAAAAAATTTTTCTCTCTTTGAAAAGAGTGGTTTTCCTTCTCTGTCTTCTGGGTGATTCCATTGTGCTTCAAGAGGGTGTTATGTTCTTTAGTTAACAGAATGTTATATTGAAAATGGTACTGTCATGGCTTTTCTGATTTATCCTCTGTCCCATAAATAACTTGATATATGAATGAAGATAATGTTATTATTTTAACCAAACTCAGGCAGGAAGTCATTTTAAAAAGGTAAGTGTTGCAAGGAGTTATATCTTGCGTTATGTGCTGTTTCTTCTGCCATAATAGTATTTCACATTTTATTTATACTTAGATAAAAATAAACATTTCTGGTATATGTTGGTGGGTGGAGAGGCATTATTGTTTGCTGTATATTGTCTGAGGGTGTCCTGTTCCTGTGTCAATAGCAGAGTCAGCAGCATAGACCTTTAGAACCAAGTTTTGTGTTTTCTGTGACTTAAAGTGAAGTGAAAAGTGGTCTTTTTTTTTTTTTTTTAAGATTTTATTTATCCATTTGAGAGAGAGTGAGAGCAGGAGAGATCACTGAGGGAGAGGGAGTAGCAGACTCACTGTTGAGCAGGGAACCCAACATAGGTAGGGCTCGATCCCAGGACCCTGAGATCATGACCTGAGCTGAAGGCAGACGCTTAACCAACTGAGCCACCCGGGTGCCTCTAGTCTTTTTCTTTTCTTTCTTTTTTTTTTTAATGAAGAAATGAATAATCTAAAAATTCTTAGTGTTTCCCTGAGAATCTAGTGTCAGCTTAAAGAATGTTATTTGCCCTTCCTGAAGTCGGGCATTCTGAACCCTGACTCTTTCTTCAGGCACACTGACTCATGGACAGTTCCACATTTTTCCATTGACTTTGTAAGCTTACTCAAGAGGCATATTGTCAAAACTCATAAACTATCCTCAGGGATGCTTTTGACAGTTTTTCTTCTAGAAGTGAAAGCTCTCTATCTATCTCTTAGAAGATAGAAATATGGAGTAGAAAGATACAGATGAAACATTTGCCTAGGTAAGTAAGAAATATCCAAAGGAAAATGATCATTAGCCAGGGCTTAAATTAGAAACAATACATTAGTTGCTGCAGCAAATCTATTTAAACTATGTGCCTTTATTCAGGAAAGCTTCTGTGTATTTTATATTGCAGTTTCCAACAAGATTTTAGAGTGTAAGTTTTCCCTCCTTTTGTGATCTGTTAAGTTTCGCACTAAAAGGTGTTTTATATCCATATTTTCATATTTTTACCAAAAATGGAAACTGAGTCTAACTAGATGCCCAATTATGATTTATAAATTACTTGGTATTTTTACTTCTACAAATAGTGGTAGGTAGCGTTTATCTCTTGATATTAATAGTTTGTGTTTTACACTTAATTAGAACTTAAATAGAAAAAAACACGAGACAGAATGATATTCCAACATCTTCTAATTCTTCATTCTCAACTTTTTGGCATTGAGAATTTAAGAGCCATCCATTTTAACATATTTTATGGAACTAAGGCATTTGGGGGAAACAGGTTTTATGGGAATTAATTTGGTCAAGGAGATAAAGAACTGAGCTGACAGCTATAATTGAGGTTTTTTTATATGTAATAATCAAAGTATAGTCTGCCTTTGTCTTTCCCAAATTTTGACAGGTGAGAAATTTGGCTTAGAATAGCTTGTTTCTTTTCATAGGTTTGGTGTTGTCTACTAAACTAGACAACTCAGTAATGATGTTTCTGATTCTGTGAATTCTGTTACTTGTAAAAGCCTGGATAGAGTTACATTTGTTAGATTTCTGTGGAAGCTCAAGCAGAATTGCCTCATGTGAGCACAGCAGCATTGTGTCTGTCCAGGTACAGAATCTCAGGATCAGAAGTATGATTCAAGGTGCTCAATTCAGGATGTTCTGTTAATAAATTAGATGTTTCCAAGTAGGTTTTTTTTATCCCCACATACTAAAATGAGGACAATAATTAGGTTACAACAAAGATTATTTGAATAGATCTTTTAGTATAGTTGTCTGGCCAAGATGTTGAAATTCAGATTCTGAAGTTTTAAATGCAGATCTTTTATTAACAGTTCCTTTTCAGTTGTCCACTGAGAATTTTTACAACTCAGACTGTTAGAGGTAGAAATTGAATCCAATTTCAACATTATCAGTCAGTATATCTACAAAATAAAAATAAAACTACTACATGCTTTTGAAAAAATTCTAGGTATCAACTAATTAATTATTTGTTTTAGGTGAAAATTTTGACCAGAGTCCTTTGAGAAGAACATTCAAATCCAAAGTGCTGGCCCACTATCCTGAGAATATAGAATGGAACCCTTTTGATCAAGATGCAGTGAACATGGTATGTATTTTTTTTTTTTAATCTTTAACCTTCTTTTTATTTTGTTAAGAATGACAGTGTTGGGCACCTGGGTGGCTCAGTGGGTTAAGCCTCTGCCTTTGGCTCAGGTCATGATCTCAGGGTCCTGGGATTAAGGCCCACATCCGGCTCTCTGCTCTGCAGAGAGCCTGCTTCCTCCCTCTCTCTCTGCCTGTCTCTCTGCCTACTTGTGATTGCTCTCTGTCAAATAAATAAATAAAATCTTTAAAAAAAAAAAAAAAAAGAATGACAGTGTTTACCTTATTTCATTTAATGTTTTAAATAAACAATTCTTTAAGATCAGTAATATTGTCCTCGTTTTATAGATGTGGAAAATGAAGCTCATAGAACTTGAGTCACTTTTCCCACAGTCCCCAGGGCAGATAAGTGTATAACGGAATCTCAAAGCCCATTTTCTTTTTTTAAAGTTTTTATTTAAATTCCAGTTAGTTAACATACAGTGTAATATTGGTTTCAAGTGTACAATACAGTGATTCAGTACTTAAATACATCACCCAGTGCTCATGACAAGTGCATTGCACTCCTTAATCCCCCTCACCTATTTCACCCACCTCCCCTCTGGTAACCATCAGTTGGCTCTCTATAGTTAAGAGTCTGTTTCTTGGTTTCTCTCTCTTTTTTTTCTCCTATGCATGTTTATTTTGTTTCTTAATTCCACAAATGGATAAAATTATATGGTTTTTGTCTTTCTGTGACTGACTTATTTCACTTAGCATAATGCTCTCTAGCTCCATCCATGTTATTGCAAATGGCAAGATCTCAATTCTTTCTTATGGCTGAGTAGTATTCCATTGTGTGTATATATAAAACTTCCTTATCCAAAAAAACAAAACAAAACAAAAAAAACTTCCTTATCCATTCGTCAGTTGATGAACACTGATGACGAACATCATCTGGCTGTTATAGATAGTGCTGCTATGAACATCTGTGTGCATGTTCCTCATGCCCATTTTCTTTTCCTACTATTAAGCTGTGTTTGTGTTCGTATTAATTCATACATAGATGATTTGATAAATGGTAATATTTGTTTGTTTGCCTGGAGAGTTGCCAGATAGAAGGAACACAGTTACAGTTTTCTTATTTCAAGGAATGTTGCATGATGGGCCTTTAATGTGTCATATTCACAAAGTAAGGAGGAAAAGGAAATTGAATTCATCATTTAGACATTCGTAGGAATTTTTTAGACATTAGTAGGAATTTATTTATAAGGAATTTTAATTAATGCAGTGAGTTACCATTGGTGGTTATAAGTCCCTTTAGAGAGTCTTAGAAATAGTCATAGTTTTCAGATTATTTAAGAAGGGTCCCACTTAGACGCCTGGGTAATATTTTGGGATTCCATGAATGGAATTCTGTGATTATAAAAATCAGGGTGCTCCAAAGTGAGCAAATCAGAGATCAGGCATACCAGGCACAGAAATAATTAAAAGTGGACTGAGACACTGGTAGGTATAGTTCTTTTTTTAGTATTTTAAAGGTAGAGCTAAAAGATGCCATTATGATATGATACTGTAAGGGAAAGAAATTAATAGATAGTAGATACCTGCTAGGTATCTCATGTCCGTTACTTCACATACATGCTGACATGTCCCCTGTAAGAGTTCTTTCTCATATTTTACAGAGATTACTAACCCAGAATTATACAGGGAGTCTCAGGTTAGATCCAGATAATTTTTACTCTGTAGCTCACTTTTCCGCATCTACATGCTGCCTCCCTCAAAGAAAAATGATGTAACTTAGTTTTGACCTATACCAAAATGACATGGGTCACATTGGACCTTTTGTGGTATTTCTGTATCACAGTAAATTCATTCCAGTCTGAGTTTGCTACAAAGAGGGAGTAGCGTGGTACTTTTTCTAATAAGTACAAATGCACTCTGACTTTGATTCTTCACAGAACATAGTGTAGTTATGTCTTTAATCAGAGATGCTATTTTGCTGGAAGTTAATACTGTGGGGCCTAGCCTCATCTTTGGTGAAGACTGTACCATAAATATTAAGTGGAACACAACTGTTTGTCATATTAATGACACTTGGAGGAGTATAGGGAAGCTTCTGACTAAAATAGTCAACAAACAGCAATGACGAAAAATAATTTATCAGCTGCTATGCCAGCAAATTAATAGAAAAATATTTTTAAAAAAGAGTGAATGAAGCAATGGAAATCTAGATAAGAATGTAAATAGATTACAACACTCGACTTCTTAAATTAGAAGATATTTCAAAGTATAAATTCATCTGTGACAAATTAGAATGGTTTTTACTACAGTACAATTCCATAGTCGTTTGGAACAAAATGCCACACTTGGGGTGTTTCCTTTCTGTTAATCATTTGAATGCATTAGTAGTGAGACATCCATGATAGTTTTAGCCTTGGTCTGTAAAGCATTCATCTTTAAAGCAGTTACCAGCTTCCTTAATCTGTTTTTGTTATTTTCTTTCTTCTTGCATCTGGGATTATTTTATGTAGGCAGCCGGAGTCTCCTATGAAGAATAAACACATAGGCTTGTGTTTTGACAGTTAAGCATCACATAGCATTTTGGTTATTGCTGCAGATCCAAAAGGATTTGCTGACATTCCATGAAAATCTCTGAAAAACATCCCATTAAACTAGTCTGCATTTGCGTCATAGATTTACTGCCCTTAATTTCCTCTGATTTTTTAGCAGGTACACTTGTATGAAGCTATAATTTATTCCCACCTAAAGGTTTAAAGCTTTCTTCTTGCCTTTAGCAAAATCCTACTCCAACGAGTCATCACCTTCTATAATATCAGTCATTTCTTTTTTCTTTTTTTTTTTTTTTAATTTATTTAACAGACAGAGATCACAAGTAGGCAGAGAGGCAGACAGAGAGAGAGGAAGAGAAGCAGGCTTCCCACTGAGCAGAGAGCCCGATGTGGGGCTCGATCCCAGGACCCTGGAGTCATGACCTGAGCCGAAGGCAGAGGCTTTAACCCACTGAGCCACCCAGGCGCCCCTCAGTCATTTCTTTAACAAGCAACAGTGGTGCTTTGAAAAAGGGTCATTAATTTCATACAGAAATTAAATCCTCCAAAGCAGTGAACTTGTTAAATTAAAAAAAAAAAAAAAGAAATTCCATGAGTGTCATGCAAATATAATAGAAAATAAATGTAAATGACAGGTGAAATTGTTTTGAATTAATTGCTTCTTTATATCTCTTTTGATTACTGATTGAGAGATTTTCATGAAAAAAAAAGGGGAGGGGGAATTATCATAAAACAAAACAATACAACAATCCTATACCTAGAACTAACACATTTCAACATTAACAAATTTGCTTCAGATCAGTTCTTTTTCTCTGAAGCAGAGAATTGCAAGTGGAACTGAAGTTCCCCTGCCTCCCCCTACCCCATTTCAGATCTCTTTGAGATAATCTGCATATTGGCATTCATGACTATATAATGTTCTGGTCAGTAGATTTTATCCTTAAGAATGTAGTGAACCTAGGGATTGTTAGAAAGAAAATATGATCAATACCTTTTTAAGCAACTTAAATGAAATATAAAGATTCTGTTTTGTTAGTCAATTCTAAATGAAACATCTGATACATGATATTTTAAGTAACTAAAAGACTCATAACTGTTAAAAAGCTTTTTATAATCTATAAAGCTCTAAGTTTATAATTTACTGTTTACTTTGATCACAAGGGTAGGGTGGAATGTCGAGTAAAGTGTAAAGGGTTGACTGAAAAAAAGCCATTCAGATGCCCATCTTGTAAGAGTCAAAGGAAAGAGAGCTATATATACTTTTTTTTTTTAAGGATTTTATTTATTTGAGAGAGTGAGAAAGAAAGAGGGCATGAGCAGGGTGGAGGAGCAGGGGAAGAGGATCACCAGAGGATCTCCTCCTGTTATTGACGTTAGAATGAAATAAGACCTCATTTTCATCTCATTTCATTCATCTCATTTTCATCCAAGTTTAATTTCTTGTCCCACAATGAAACCATAGGAATGGGGCTTTAATCCAGCTATTACCAGGGGAGCCCACTTGTTTTCTTATCTTTTTTTTTTAATTAAAGATTTTATTTATTTATTTGACAGAGAGAGATCACAAGTAGACAGAGAGGCAGGCAGAGAGAGGGAGGGAAGCAGGCTCCCTGCTGAGCAGAGAGCCCGATGCGGAACTCGATCCCAGGACCCTGAGATCATGACCTGAGCCGAAGGCAGCGGCTTAAACCACTGAGCCACCCAGGCGCCCCTTGTTTTCTTATCTTCACAGCTAGAATAATTCACAGACATCTCAAACTTAGCATGTCCAAAACTGAACTCACAGTCTTCCCACTAGCCTCGGTCAGTGAATGGTAGAGCCATCCACCTAGTTGCCTAAGCTGAAAATCTGGCATTATCGTTGAAAGTTCTCACTTTCTTACTTTCTCCTATGTGCAATCAGTTATCTGTCTACTTCTCTCTGTTTTTGTACACCCACCTTAGTCCGAACCCTTGAAGTCTCTTACCTGGACTTCTGCTCCTGTCCTTTCCATTCTTCACACTAACACTGCTTCTTCTGTGGCCACTTCTCTTGGGAAGCCTCTGCTACTTCTCTTTCCCCTGCTGAATTCTTACTGACCCTTCAGGTTTCATTTTAAACACAATTTTTTCAGAGAGGCATCCCTGACCACCTTTCTACCATTGTCAGTTCCCTTCAGGTTCTCTTAGGACCTGTTAGCTCCTTGTACCTTTTTGTAGCACCTATCGTGGTTGCAAGTAAATAATTGATTATGTAGGTTGTTATCAGCTCTATGTCTCCTGCTGTAATGTAAGCATGGTGAAGACAGGCACACTCTCTCTTATTCGTTGCTGTATCCCTAGTTTCACACACGGTAGAGGCTGAAGTCACTGAATAAATGAAGGAATGTTTGCTTACTTACAAATACTTCCCCTTCCTGTCTTTGTCTTTTCAGGTGTTACTTCCCCTGCAAAACCATCTTAAGCAGGAGTA